AATGTTCTTCTAATCAAAATAGCCCTAGTTTTATAAACCAAATTGGCAATTATCTTAATAAAATTTTGAGAAAATAGCTTCTAAAACTATAACTCTTCAAATTTTAGATATTTATGAATATTTTCAAATCAAATCAAATATTTGATCTTTCAATTTGAATTTGATTTGATTTGAAAATCTATATTTAAATTTAATTTGAACTCAAATATTTGAATTAAATTAAATCAAATCAAATCAAATGCAGAACTCTATATAAATGAATATACTGTACATATACTCAAATGATAAGTCTATCATTAAAAGAGTATGAAGATTGGCTGGATGATTAGAAGAGTGATCTGAGAATTTACCTGAGTAGAATCCTATATATAGATTAATATGTACTCAAATTGGGAGTACTTAGATATGATAGCAAAAAATTTTGCCAATTTGGTAGTTTATATAGTATATAGAAAATATATTAAACATAACATATTGTATGGAAAATCCTAATATATACTAAAATAGGATTAGATAGATCAGGTAGGGATATGCATTTGTAGATAAAATAGTCTAAGCTAAAGTTTTACTAGTTGTACTATAGTTACTACAGGATCTGAACATCTCTGATATAGGTCATAACTGAGTTCTGGCCAAATTTGACTAAATTTGTTAAAAACTAAAAAACTATATTTTCTTAAATAACTTTTGATCCAGTGATCAGAATTGAATGGACTTTTTTTTTTAGATGCATTTTACTGAGAGCTTTCATTTAAAAAAAAGTTCATCCAAATTGGACTACTAGATACTAAGATAATCATAAAAAACTAATTTTTTAATTTTTAAATTTTGGGTGTTTTTGCTGAAATGCATAATGTATGACCCCTGTACTATATATTTGGGGTTCTGTTACTACATAATTTGTAATTATAATATATATAAAAAGAAAAATTTGTTAAAAGATAGTTTAATTTTAAGTGAATTTCAAAGATATTAATATGAATTTTTAGTATAAAGTGTATTTTTGTTTTAGAAATAAGTTTACTTAGAGTGCTAAGTAAGGATTGTATAGTAGAATATAGAGATATTGTATGTTTTTTGTTAAGAGTATAGTATATACTTGTGAAATTTTAGAAAAACTAATAAGTTTTTCAAAAAATATCTAGCAAGTTTTCCAAGTTTAGTAAGTGAATTTTTGAAATTTGTTGGGTTTTAAAAAATTGTAATAGGTGCACAAAGTGAAATTTTCAAGGCAAGCCAATAGGATTTCAGAAAATTGCAGTGAATTTTTAAAACTAAAAGTAGTTTTACTGGTAAAGAAGTTTGAAGTTTTCTTGATATAAAATTATTAAATTTAGTCTGTTTGTAACATATTATATATCAAAATGTTTGTTTTGATGAATAGAACAAATTTGTTTTAAGTTCAATTTCTATCAATTATTCTATAGCACTCCAGATTTTTGAGGCTGGAGAATCTACATCTAGGCTTAAACAATTCTCAGTTACTCATTCTATACAATCTCAATTTAATTTCTATATAGATAGATCTGTAATTAATATTGGTACTAGACAATATACAATGGGTATAGATTAAGTCTAGTTGGATGCCAACAATAACATTATACACAAATTTTTAGCAATAATTTATTTTTGGCCATCTTCTTATAAAGCAGAACTCTTTTCTATTTTATCTGCTATTTCAACTACTCTATGCAACTCAACTATTAATATCTTTACTAATTTACAATCAGTTATCTCCAAATACTCAAACCTTATCAACTCTCACAATCCTAATAAACTTTTTAAATTTAGTTCCTGGCCTTTATAGCACATACTACTTAATATTTTTAAATCACATAACCTACAAATCATTTTTTATAAAGTTCAAGCTCATACTGATAACTATTACA